CACATTTCGTAGCCATGCGATAACATCAGTGTCACGGAGAAAAGACTGCACACTGGAATGACGGACGCTGAATTCTCGCTGCCGCTCATGTCATGCAAACAAAACGACTGGCATATGAAAGAAGCAGGCGTAATTCTTTACCGAAGCGACCTAGATTGCTAGGCTGTGGACGATTAGGTTCACTGTTCGCCGATTCTCTTTGGTGCCGCCTTCAATTACATGGCAGAGAGAGTTGCCTTATAGGTTTGGGGTACTGCTTCCCAACTCGACACCGGGATTAAAAAGTAACATTGCTACCAATTTAAGATGCAGTCTAAAGGGAGAGCACACTCACATCCTTATCATGGGTAATTTCAAGCTACACTGCTTACATAACCCCTGCTACAATCGGAAAATCACACAAAGCAGATTTGCAATCAGATTTGCAATCACGCCATTATACTCACTTGTTAATAGACCATTTTGAAGGATCTTGTGTCCAACTACGTGGAACATATGAATGATGTACTGATTGTAGAATGTCATTTAGGTAGCAGTGATCATGCACTCATCCGTTTCGATTTCATCTGTAATGCGGAATACCGCCACCGGGACAATGAGATGTTGCGCACCATTACGCGCTACGACCACTTAGTCAGATTCATCAGTACCACAATCTCATCGTTCCTCCCTGAATGCCATGGATGTCACTTTGCTTAAATTCGTCGGCAATTTCAATCAACTGGTTACCTACGCCCGCCGTCACCTTTCCTTTTCAAATTTGCTGTTGATGAAGACATGGAAATCGCATTTATAGAACACAACTTAGAAGGTGTGGATCTGCTCCCAGAAGAAAGAATTCTTGACTTATGCTGATGATATTGCCCTACCTGTGGCAGCTCACAAACGTGCCAAGCGGAACTGGACAGATTAGCACTGGCTGTCTGTCACTACGGGTTTTGCTTCGCTCCCTCGAATTGCAAACTGTTCCTCCAAGGTTGGTCTGGATCGACTCCTACACTGACCATTGGTGGGGATCAGCCAGAAGCCGTTCAAAAATTCAACTACCTGGGAAGTTGTGTCAGCACCCATGGGATTGAAAGTGAGATCAAGAACCGTAGAGTAAAAACACGAGATGATTTTGCTAGTCTTCGCCACCTATGGCGGTGGCGCGACTTTACTCTCGCCCTGAAGGATAGAGTGTAAAATGCAGAGAAACCTTCGACCCTACTGTACGGCTGTGAAACCTGGCCCCTTAGAACAACGTACATAAAGAGGTTAGTTACGTTCGACAACCGGTGACTTCGCACATTAGCTCACATCTGGTAGGAACACCGAGTAAGCAACAAGCGTGTTCGACGCCTTGTTTACGGCATAGGAAGAGGAACGGAGCCGCTCAGCTCCGTTATTTAAGCACCAGGCTCCGATGGCTGGGCCACGTGTCACGCATGCCAATCCACCGGCCCCCGCGACGTTTGTTGTTTGCGCGCCGGTGGGGTGGATGGAAGAAGAGAAGCGGCAGCCAAGCGATGACTTGGTCGAGATGAATGAAGGTCTTCACTTCGAAGCTGTCCTCGGTTGGAGCGTCTTTGCTCCCTGGTTGGGTTCCGAAAGACGATGAACACGTTTGGTTGGAGACACTTGCTGATATAGCTAGGAGCCGACCTCAGTGGTGTTCGTGCGGTGAATTTCGTTGTCCCACCCCTCTTAGCCTCCCCCTTCAACCACCATCTCAATATTCAGCCTTTTATGATTTTGCATAGTAATTTTTTTGCTGCACGGTGGCCGGCTGGTAGCTTACCTGGACGATGCCCATCCGTTACCGGTTGCTTAGCTGACTTGCCCCTGTTGCATAGCTTTCTACTTTTATCTTTTATATATTGCGGCACAGTAGATGAGGTGTTTCCCACCTCCAGTTAACGTGTATAATGATGAATGATAGACGCCTCGGAGACAAGAATTTTGAAAGGAGGTTAAAACCGTTTCGTTCGTGAGTAGCAAGGTTAGCAATTGGATGACTGTACGAAACATAACCTGTCGAGAGTACAGAGCATCACCAAAACCAGTTAATTGGGATAGCTACGTAGCCCGTCGCAACCACTGCACTCAATTGCTCAGAGATGACAAAGTCGCATATCAGTAGAATATGGTGAAAACTTTTGGTGCGAACGACAAAATACTTTCCAAGTATATCCAAGGCCGTCGTAAGTTGAGGCAGGGAATTCCTCCTCTCCGGACGACTGATGGTCCAACTAGAACAGATATAGACGCAGCAAACGCCTTGCGCATTTCAGAGGGTCTTACCATCATGCCATCTTCCAGCTTTTGGTTTCCCGCCTCCAGGACTCACACTCGTCTCCTTTATTTCCGAAGCTGTTTTTCGGATGGTGACGACTCTGCGCAACCAGAGGCACTGAGAGCAGCAGCTAAGCAACTGGCAAAACGTTTGGCCCAGTTCTTTCAGCGCTGCATAGATCAGAACCAGAGTCCTGCGACGTGGAAACTTGGAATATTGACTCCGATTCACAAAGGTGCAAGCAGGACTAAGCCCTCAAACTACCGCCCATTTTCTCTGTTCCCTGTATTGTCTAAGGTCATTGGATCCATTGTTACTGGTGTTTTAGCTAAAAGGTTGTAACATTAGTGCTCCCGTGCAACAGGGCGTTCGACGAGAGCCATGGTACACAACGAAGTTACCAATTGCAAGGTTAGTTGTACCGAGCCAGTTGACGTTTGAGAAACGCTGATGTGATTTCTCTTGAATTTGTCCAAGGCGTTCCTTCGTCTAGGTCATCGGATCCTCCTTCCCAAGCTCCAGTAGTACGGGATCGATAACGTCTTATCGAGCTGGATCGCCAACGTTCTCCTGCAACGACAGTTAGTGGTCAGCGTTCGGAGTTGCTTATATGACATCATAAAAGTCGTGTATGGATTGCCCCAGGGCTTAGTTCTAGGACCGCGATTATTTTTGGTACTCAACAATGACCTTGCGTTAACAATGGCTTCAAATGTTTTGCTGTTTGCTGAATATTGCAAGATACGGCATCGGATTCAGGTGGATGCCGATCGAAATTCATCTTAGCCTGACCTTGTTATGGTATTTGGGTGGGCGACCCGAAATCTGTTATAGTTCATCGTGGACCAATGCAAGGTACTTTCCATACGACACCAGCGTACCTATTCCTACAAGCTGGGAACGCAAATGCTTCAACGATTATCCATCGAGCACTACCTTAGGCTGTTTGTTCAGGATAACTTGGGTCTTTCTAAGCAAACAGTGAAGGCATTGCAAACTGACAACCAGCAAGTCCGCTTGTAACGGCGGGCTTTCGAACAAATAGATACCACTATTTTCAGACAGATCCTGATTGTGTATGTTCGACCCCATATCGAATACGTAATCCAAGCCTGGAAGTGATGGCTGAAGCACGAACTTACTGCACTGAACCAACATTAACGTCGGACTTGTAAATACGTCATTGGAATGTGTCACCTTCCAGACAAGCAGCGGCTGAAACGTGTGAAAGTATGCAGTGAGCGGTATCGTCGACTACGAGGGGACTTGATTATAGCATACTTGAGTTAGCACTATCCAAATCATGTGTCAATGTTTACTGAAACTCGGCAGTTACTCCAAGCCTAAATGCCACTGCTTGCAAGTAGCGGAACAGTACAGCCGTTTGGAGGGCCGTAGATGTGTCTTTTCTATTCTTGTGTGTCAACCATGCAGAGCTCTTCCAGAATCGGTTGTTTCTACACCTATCCTAGCTATATTAACAGTCGGGTGGATGAAGCACTCCGCCACTTACATCCATCCCAGTCCCGGAAATACCGTGGATGTATTGTTTCTCGCCTACTGAAGCTATGGAAACACTAGGATTGCAAGGCTCCTGCACTAGATATGATAAGTCCATAGTTTTGAGGATAAGACTACTAAATGCACTATATAATTAAGGTTTTTCGATAACCCACCGGACTATCCAATGGGGATTATAAAACAGTGCGCCTTGACCCGTTTAAAATCTTTGTTCATTGTTCAAGACCTGATATACACTAGACATACAAATTGTGCATCTTGGATGTACTTTGGTGACGTTCATATAACTACAAAACAGACATTGTATTAGAGGAAACTAGACGGGCATTGTGTAACAACTACAGAAGTTGATCCAACTAATTTACGCTGCGGCACCTTTTTAAAATGCGTGTCCCGCCATAGTAAAGCTTGCATTCTTCCTTTAAGCCAAACATTGATTAACTTTTATATTTGATGTCCAAAATTCTGTTCACAGGTCAAAAGTTAAGTTGGATTAAGAGAATAAATACCTTAGCTGCCAAGGCCGTCCAGCTGGCAAATGAAATATCTAATACTAATTGTGATCTAGGCCGTAGTATTCAGGGATTCCGTCACATTAGACCTCGACTTCATACCATTTAACAATTTGGCCAATTAATGCAGTTATCTATACATAACGCGAGTGGAATTCCGTTTTACACTTTTTGTTTGATGGGTCTTACATGTACAGCGCAGGACAATCGCTACTTGTGTCGCTACGCTATCCACTGTGTATTCGATATCACGCATGGCGTTTACTGCCAGCTGCAAACAGCCCGAAATAAATGTCACACACATGAATGTACTTCATTTGTTACTAGTTTTAATGTTCTAAAATTTGAGACTGTTGACGGTGTTCTCCTCATAACGAAGATGGCGCTTGGCGCTTGTCAGGTAAATCGTATCCGTTTTGAAAGAATAACTGGACGGAAGACTGTCTGCTATGTACAAAGTAACGGTGTACAACAGAGTATGCTTGGGTATTCTTACGGACACGAAACCAAACATATAGTTGCTTGAATTCGACGCATTAAACTGCACATAGAGCTTGTGTAACTGTAAACGACTTGTTGTTGCTAGATGATCAAATAAATTACAGAACTATTTTAGATTACCAACCCAAACTAGTGAATATCTAATAGCGCGATTAAACTGGAGTGTTAGAAAATCTTTGAAAAAGATGATAAAACCGATTGAACTTGCATTTAAAATGTGCGAAGGATAGGCGATACGGACGTGAGAAATTAAGGAAAGGAAAGTAAAAGATCGTTTAGGTCAAAATCGTCAAATTGGCCTACATTGCGAGAGAGGTTGAATGCATGGTACTGTCTTGCTGCCGGTTGAACGCATCGTATGCAGCGGTTCGCCAAGGGCTTGATAGAATTTGAGTTCCGTGCAAGTGTCTTCATTGAATTTGACCTTTGTATTTCGAATAAATGAGGTAGCCAAGAAAAATTACCACAAACTTATAATTTGTTCCGGCGACGACTTGTGTAGAGACGCTTATTAGCTCAGAAGGATTTAGTTGCGTGCTTCCATCTGCTGCCAGCTTGGCTTGAAGCTAAATAAAATGGTCAGTAAAAGAAGTAAGGTGAATACAAGCTTACTATGGGCAGGTAAATTAACTGTTGTTCCTCGCTTGGTGCGCATGGATTAGTGAACCCTCCGAGCATGCGCATTGCAGTAAAGCATGGAAGGTGTTGCACAGAAAGGCACAGTAACAGGAGACAAGTAAGTGAAAGATTCATGCTGCTTTCAAATGATATGCTATGAAAACGGGCGGAGGGTACAAAATTTCCCATGAGAGTGTAACACAGTGTTCACTTAAATATGCTCCAGATTGCTTGGCGTCCAATTAGGTTTCAGACATAACGATAAATGTCAGAAGCCAATAAGGAACAGTAAAACGTGCAAGGAAGTTAGCGAAGTGTTAGAGAAGGACTGAACTAGAAATCCAATCAAGAAACGCGTAGCACTTTATTCACGGATCACACGCATGCGTTCGGTCACATGACTAACTTCTTGGCGTATCTGCGTACAAACACATCCTAGGACGTGAAGCACAGAAACGACAGACAATGTAAGTTTAACCCGAACTTTGAGGCAATGGTGTGAGGCAAGAAATGTCTAACCAAAAAGAAGTGAAATAACTGTTTCAACTTGTTGCTAGTTTGTGAAAATTAATTTTTACGGTATTAATTTCGCAGGTAATTATGTAGACTACAAAATTTTATTAGAAAAACGAATGTTGATTTACATCAACAATATTGTTTATTCTCGAACAAGCAGATCCAGTTAATAAAGGCGTAGTCAAATAGGATCATCGAGCCGCTTTTTTGGAAATCTACAAAATTTGTTATAAACCTATAACCGGATATTATATGCGTGTTGTAAGCGCAAGTGTGTTGAAGGATTATTTTCGGAGATCGTTGGGATCAAATCAGTGTATTGCTAGCGAAAGTAAAAACCAGTAATTAAAAAGTTGAACGCAATAGCCGAGAGTTGCTAGCAACTCCTGAGATTGTGTTTTATTCTTTTACGTGCGACATTGTAAGGCAAACGTTTGACAAATTGTTCTGAAACAGAAATAGAAATTGTACTGGAATGTATGTAAGAGTACAGCAGTTTTTAACTATAATCACGAGGGTGTTTGCAAGCCTGGTTGTACTTATTTGCGATGAGAATTCAATGTGTGCGTTAATCTCCATGAGGAAACGGCTTGCTGGTTGTAGAAAAGTGCACATACAAGTAACATAATAGCGATTGTCTGAGACAGCTGTGTGTGAAGATCCGCTTCGGATGAAAAGTGAAGAGGTGGCATTTTAGTAAAGATATTCGTTCGTTACCAAGTGTAAAATCTAAAATACTCAGATAAGGTGAAAATTGTTTACAGCAATAGTGTCCCAAATAAAAAATCACTTTTGCGTCAATTGTCACACTTTTCTGTCGTCAGTTCCTTATGGTCGTTTTGCACATCTGCCCCGTTACATGTAGTCCTTCGTAGATCTTATCCATGATCGTAATGCATTATAAGCCCATGAAGCGTTGAACAGCAGTCATAGCATTTTAAACGTTTCTCTTGGCTTATACTAGCGTCTGATTGACCTCCCTGGCTTACACTGTTATTCATTATTTGTCTACACAGCCACAACTACGTTGTTTAGGCGCCTTATTTCGAAGCACGTGAAAAAATCGGTTGCTTCCGTATTGTGCGGGTACTCGTGAGGTTTGCCAAAACGCACTATAATATCTGTGACTAAGACTGCATTTACTAGCAAGTAGAATGATTTCTGTACAACTCTAACGAATTGCGAAAATTCAAAAATGTTTAATTGCGAACCGTCCGCGGTGGTGTTTGGTCAGTTACTCGTTTATCCTTGTTCGGTTAGGATTTCTTATTTGTGTCATTATTTTCGGTAATTGGATGTCTTTTGGTGCACGGTGAGCCGTTTCACAAAAGCACAGGCTTCCGAAATAATCGTCGAGACGTGTTTTAAAAGACTTCACAGAAGCCGTCACTATTAGTCCTTCTGGTAGTGTATTCCATTAGCTTAGGATTCATCGTTCTACACAACACTGATGGGATCCTTGTTCATACTGGGGACCCTGAGTATGTAACTGTGTTCTCGGGTGTTACAGGGTTCCCGCAGGTGAAATATTGGCCGCAGTATGGGGACGTGATTCAAATGTATTACTCGATGGGTGATAATAAGCTCCATTTTTATTTGGTTGTAGGATAGTGTGTAGAGTCCGAGCCTTTCACGATGTCTCTCATACGGAAAATTTCTTAGACTGGGTGTCATTCTAGCTGCGATATGCTGCATTTTCTCCAGCTTTTCAGTTTCGCATTGGATTATCGGATGGTAAGCTGGGGCACCGTATTCAAGGATTGGTCTAATGAGTGAGATGAATGGGCGCTGGACGATTTCTTCGGAGCATGTGGAACTACTGCGCCTCAATGCGAAGAGTATAGGAAGTAAAGCCCGGTACAGTTTGTCTGTACGTTCTGGTGAGCTCATTGTATGTCGCGAGAACACTTCTTAGTCTCTGTCAGGTGTTGGGGTGGAGAAACTGGTGGTCTGAAGTGTATGATCGAGTGGCTGGACATCGGGAAATAATGATGAACTACTAATTGCTGGCGGTCTATTCCAGTTCATCGGCTTCCATTTGGAGCCGACGATCTTTCTTCAGTTTGGCATGCCTCAATGTACGCACATTTCCACAGAACGGTCAACAGGTCTCACTTGTTCGAACATTAGGGACACTCTCGGTCGATATCTGCTGCTTATCGGAGACCCGTTTGCGAGCTTTGAACTCTGTACTCTCTTTGCGATCCCCTTCAGGTGACGCAAGCAGTATTTTCTCATTGCGCTCACAAGTTGACGATGTAGCTTGGAGCACCGGTCAAGCCAATGTTAGTATTGCCCTGAGTACCCAAGCTGAAGCTGCTCTGGTTGATTGGATTTCAATCAGTAGCCAGATGTGTGCGGTCCGATTAGCTGGCTCGTTCAAAGCCTCAAATTCGCGCGGGACTAATGCGTGTCTATTCATCATCGCTGCCTATGCACCCAACAACTCTGGCGATGATTCGGTAAAGAACGACTTCTAACGCCCACTGACGCAGCTCTTTCACCACAGAAGACGCACGGACACTGTTGTGCTGGCTGGGAATCTGAAGACTCAAGTTGGAAAATTATCCACTGATGAACTGCGTCTGGGCAGCCAAAATGGTGTAGGCTCCCGTAATGACAACAGTGAGCGGTTACTTCATTTGTGGGAAGATGCTGGCTTGTTTCTTGCCAGCACTAACTTCCGACACAGCAGTTGCCGGAGGGTGACTTGGCGCCCACCAGCCTCGAACCAGGCTTGGACGCAAATCGATCACATTGCTATCAGTTACCGCAGGAGAGGCTGCATCCAAAACGGTCGCTCGATTTGGCGCACATGTGTGGACACTGATCATGCACTTGTATATACTGACATGCGAATGAGTTTTGGCGGACGCCCACGACGACGCTGTGAGCGCATTGACACCAGCCAATTGACAAAGTCAGCTGTTCTGAATGCGTATGGAAGTACGCTGACATGCGAGTTGAGTAAACGCTCGGTGTAGACAACTGATGGTCACTGGTCACATGTTCGCCAGACCTTACTAGCAGCAGGCAACTCCTCATGTGGTAAGTCTAATCGCCAACATGTACACTGGGTCTATGGAACTTATCGATGTTCATGGGCATATTCCGGCAGGAAGCGAACACAAGGAAACTCGCGAAACCAAAACAGCCTTCGGTTGCTTTGGGCGCTCAGGCGCAGTTTCAGTACTTGGTCCGAAGTGATTGCCAGTCGCCTCTTCGTCTCAATAATATGACCATTGCTAGAGTATGGCTCTCCCGCGTATGGTCTTATCACCCGGGACAAGGTAATAAATATTGAGCGAGTGCAGCATATAGCCGCCAGGCTTATTCCTAATTTAGGAGGTGTGCCGTACGAAGACCTGGGTAAGAAAGTAGGGTTGTACACCCTAGCTTATCGTCGACTGCTAGTTGACCTCATCATGACGCACCTGATAGTACATCTGGGTGATTACCCTATGTTGAGGGCTGGCTTGCCGAACAACCTCCATGTGGTGCCAGCTGGGTGGTTCGGGATTTTCCCGTTCCAGCAAATGGTTCGGCGGCAGTGTTCCAGGACGTGGTGGGTTTTCGCCTGGCAAGCGTTCTCCCTATAAAAAGCCACATATGTCCGTTTAACAACACTGTGACGTGGCGGATGTGACTCGCCACTAAATAAAGTCACTGCCCCTTGCTTCATTCTGGCGAAGCATTGTATTCCAGCAACCCTTATGCTGTACTTCTGGGGAGCATTGGGCCCCCGTTTGACAAAGGAACAAACAAAAGGCGTATGAACTGAGCAATCAGTCACCGGCTCCCAATGGGCGCGATTCCCTGAATTCGCTCCGCTGCCTTGCGGGCAGGCTATTCAGCCAAAGGCTCGGGGTGGTGTCCCCTAAGTCAACACCCTACTTCGGCTTGGGCAACCGGGTATTATCTCGCCCTCTGAGGAAACCATGGACATTGTTGTGTTGTGTTTTATTTTACTGTTTCTGTACCTTCGTTTGAATCCCATGGTTTCTGATGGCATTATGTCTGTTAACAGACTTTAGCAAATATACATATATATATATACCCTATGTTGAGACCGCTGATTCATCTACACACACCAAACAGCACACGACGACACCGGTACAAGCTTGTCGTACTGGATTTGAAGCAGGTCGCTCACCAATTCTGTTTCGAAAGCAGCGTGGTAAATGCATGGAACGACCTACCGCAGCACCTAGTTGAGGCGAAGTCGGTGTGGGAATTTAAGAAATTCCTGGACAAGCAATTTGCCGACATAAAACATATCGAGTGCAACACAACATGACGGTTCTTTGTCCCTAAGTGACATTAGATGCAGCTATACGGAGAGACCTTTACTTACAGCTTCCAACCAGTAAGCAGTAATCTGTTCAAGCTGTGTACCCTCAATATAGAGCACGGGAACAGTTGGGTGCCAGTCCTGAAGCAGCACTTTACACTTCAGCTGGGCAATGCACATTCCGTACCTAGATGCCTTAATCGCCAACCGGCCCAGAATGGTTTGTATGCTCTGTGAGTCCTCACTGAGTAAGGCGATATCATCGGCATTACCTAAGTCAACCGCTCGGTTGCCCGGTATTAGCAGTATACCAAAATTTTGGCAACCGTCTAGAGTTCACGACAGGATGTTGTTAATCACAAAACTGAAGATGAACGGGGAC